TGCCTTCAAATTTTGAGGACACAGTTTTGATTGCAATAACCAGGCAAACCATGTTAGTTGTTCTAGCCATTTATTGTGGCATAAAATCAGACAACAGATTTAATTCTTTCTTTCCTCCATCTCTCAGTGATATATCACTGGAATAACACTTAATATGCTTATAAGGCAAACAGTGATTGTAGAGGAGTCTCTGTTTTAGAGATTCTCCTATTAAAAAGGTGCTATGGAAATGGGAAGTATAAAGGCATTTAAAAAAAATCACATAATAGGGGAGGATAAATTAAGAGTGAATACAGGAGAGAATCACTGTAAGTGTGTCAAGATTCTGATGAGGTCAATGTTCACATTTCAAAAGTTCTCTCAGGACAAAACAATTACTATGCTCAGGTTCAAATACGAGTTCAGTATATACACGCTGCCCAAATATATATCAGCCCTTGTTCTTGGCTTCTCATCCTTGGGTTTAGTAAATATATCACCAAGGCTGTGTCTAGACTCGCATGATTTTGCGGAAATACTTTTAACAGAAAAGTTTTTTCATAAAAAGTATTTCTGCAAAAGAGAGTCTAGATTGGCATGGATACTTTTGCACAAAAAGTGCTTTTGCGCAAAAGCATCCGTGGCCAGTATAGACGCGATTTTGCGCAAGAAAGCTCTGATGGCCATTTTAGCCATCAGGCTTTCTCGCACAAAAAATTAAGGTGCCTGTCTACACAGGCCCTCTTGCGCGAGTATTCTTGCGCAAGAGGGCTTATCCCTGAGTGGGAGCGTGAAAGTATTTGCACAAGAAGCACTGATTTTGTACATTACAAAGTCAGTGCTCTTGCGCAAATTCAAGCGGCCAGGGTAGACAGCTGGCAAGTTTTTGCGCAAAAGCGGTTGCTTTTGTGCAAAATCTTGCCAGTCTAGACGCACCTCAAATGTATAACCTTTAATGGGGGAAACCAATCCCAAGATGTGGCTGAAAATGTATTCCCTGTTGATTAGCCTTGGTAGTGGGAAGCCTGCTTAGACTCTGAATATATCAAAGAAAAAAATTACCACTCTAGACTCTAGCATTTACCCAGTACCAAATCAATGTTATTAGCAATGCTGAGAGACAACTAGAGTTCTGTATCAAGAGGTAATAACTCATTTCTCTTTTTAACTGTGGACAGAATCAAAGTAGGTGCAAAACAGTCAATTAATGAGCAATCCCTCTCAAGGATCATGTTGTCTCTTAATATTATATACCCTACTCACAATCAGAGACATTTAAAAGCAGGAACATCGAGTAGGCAGCTCCATATTTTTAAAGTCCATTGAGAACACTTTTAAACATCCACAGCAAGTGTATTAGAGAATTGCAGAGCAACCTGTTGGCTGAAGTAATTTTAGTCTTAAGCATCTGAAATGGTATTTGTGAGTAAATTTCAGCATAGGAAGAGTGTTCTGTTAGATTCTGCCCTGCCAGCCCCAGAGCTATCAACAGGCCATATTTTAATTGTGGCTCTAAATTTGCAGACACGAGGGATTGTATTTAGGCATCTCTCTGATTTGGAGTTGCAATCAGCTAATTAGAAGTGCTAATGTCATTGTTTGTGTCTGTACAATTGACTGCAGGTAAAAAACTAGATGCTGTGTTTAAGCCTCTTTTAAAAAAAAAATCTAAACTCGAATGGAGGCTGTGTACACATATATCCCAGCACACTGCTATTCCTGGCCCAGGTTTTTCCTGAAAAATATTCAATGTTGCATGACATAAGTGATGGAGGCATTTTTTTTGTGGGAAATGGTTAAGACCACAAATGTCATCATTATGCCTTTACCTGTTAAAGTGAATTTGAGTTCCGCTCTTCAGGGATGAGAGTCTAGTGGAGTACTCTGCTACACCTCCCAAAGGCTCCTAAAGCTTCACAACATTGCAGAGGAGACAGGTACCAGTGCAAAGCAAGTAATATTGTGGTTTAAACACCCATGCCTTGAAGAATACTTGTCATTGGTAGAGGTACATTTAAACTGTACTACTTAGTCATTTAGCAACTCTTTACAGTCTAAACAAAAGCAGAATTTAACATGTATCTGCCTTGGCCAGGCTGTGCTGTATTTCCATGAAATGAAGGCCAAAGGATTAGTTCCTAATGAAAAGATAGTATTCATTTCAGTTTTTTAAAGGCTGTGCCATAGAAAGTCACATGCTGTAAAGCTTCCCCTTCTGCATCACATGCCCTGTACATTTTTCATTCATGTCTGGATTTTATGTTTAAAAATTACCTACAAAGCTGAAATGTATGTGTATTACCAATGATCCCAGACTAAATCCTGAAAAAACACTTAGTTCAGTCTCAATAACTGCTATCAATCATGATAGGTTATATGCTAGCCATGTATTATTCTATATAAAGTAATGAAAGCCAGCAGTGGGTAGACACTTTGTGAAACTCACAGCTATCAAAACTGAACTTCAATTTTTAAACCTTATCACCTACTGTTATTGCCTGTGCAGACCATAAGAAAGGAAGAGAATCCAAAAGAGCACACTGGCTTCAGCGACTAGGCCAGATTACTTTCCAATTAATATTCTGTCAAGTGTTAAATCGTAAAACACTACATATATCGTTCACGTTTTAATTCCTAACTGTCCACACCAAAACCTGAAATCCTTTAAATAACTATCAGAGAAATGGCTCTGCATTGGCAGCAGCACAGCATCCAGTCTCAACATCCTGACAAAATCCTTTGAATTACTAGCACTAACTCTAGGCCCTGGTCTACACTAGGGCTTATTTCAAAACAACCTTTTAGGTTGAATTTATAAGCAGAGAGTTCACACTACCAAACCTGTTATTTTGAAATAAGGGGCTGCTTATTTCGAGATCTGTACTCCTGCTTTCCTTGGGGAATAATGCTAATTTCAAAATAGTTATTTCAAAATAGCATTGTTGAGGATGCTTTGGTGCTGTTATTTTGAAATAACTACTCTCCAGAGTAATTCAAACTAATTACTCTCTAGTGGTTCCTGGGGCTCTAAGTTGAGGTAGAGCTTCCACATTTACAGAGCCTGCCTCAGACTAATTTCAAGGCTTCCCCATAGAGGGGACATGCTCTTTCAATTTTGTAAAATTAGGAGTTAAGTCAAATCTTGTTATTTCAAAAGAGTTTCCTAGTGTAAACATGACCTAGGTGATTCCCAAGACCAGTGCTTTTTCTTGTGACAGTACACCCCAGGATGGTGTACCGGCACCTATTTTCCCATCTTAATTGAATTGAATGGGATTCCCTTCTGGCATACCGGCACCTATTTCCTGTTGATTAGGAAACATGAACACCAGCATGTTAGGAGCTCAAAGGAGAGACTAAAAACTAAGGAAGTTGCCAGTTGAGGGTGAATTTGAAACAATGATCTAGAAACAAAAGGTTTGATATTCCTCTTTCAATTCTTTGAGACATCAAATCCTGAAGGAAACTTTTTCAATGGTTATTTTCCCCAAAGACATTCAACTTTAATGACAAATTATAAAATTAGGCCTTTACATCATAAATCCATTCAATGGTAGAGTAAAAATATAATCAGAACCCTATTTCGTTTAGTTTGTGCTTTATCTAAATTTCATATATAAATTTAAAAAGCCATCCCATTTGGATGCCATTTTTAAGCTTTAAAACATCTCCACATTTGGATAATAGTATAGGCCAAATGTATCTAATACCAGGTTACCAGTGTAATCCTTCTCTTCCCTCACTGCCAGTCTATTGAATTACTGGGGTCTAAATGTTTCTCATATAGTGAATTTAATAAACAAAGTGCTTCCTCTAATAAATCTAATTTTTTATAAAATTTTCTCTTCTCAACACACACTATAGAACTTTTAAAATATCAGCAACATTTATCATCCCTGGATCCTTTTCAATTTAAGATTTAATTGGGTCACCATTTGATACGTTTGAGGGGAAAAAAAGTTAGTGTCCATTCATATGAACAGGAAGGTTTTTTTGTTTTTTGTTTTTTTTAAATAACCATTAAGCCATGCTATGCTAGTTACAGTAAAAAAGAATGTTCTCAAGTCTACAACAGCACAAAGTACTACCCACTCTCCAACAGATCCAAGAATGATGAGAGCTATGACATCCCTTGCTCATGCTTTGTCCAGTCTAATTTGGAATGATGTAGGCAAGGAGCTTCTACTCCATCCCTAAGGAAACTATTCCAAACTATTCCACAATCAAATAGATCTCATTGTTAGGAAGTTATGCCCAATATTCAGGGTTTTTCCTTGTCTTAGAATAAGTATATAAAATCCAATTTTCTGTCGTCCCTCCCCCGAAGACTAACACTTCAGTGCTCTGTTCCACATTATACATATGCAAACAACATTGAAAGTTATACATGTACCCAAGGTCAGCTGTAATAAACAATCCTAAACAACAAAGCAGTGTATATGTACATTATATGAGGGAAGCGTTCCACAAGGAAACAGACTTCAGCTTCAAGGTCCCACAGCATTAATTTGGTAATAAAATAATCACAAATATTCCAAGAGTGTCCTTTTAAATTGCCCAGCAGAAAATAGCAGGACTTACTGAAGCATCTGAAAATGTAAGGTCTTGAAACTCTGTGGACTGCTGATCCCAAAGAAAAAAAAATCATCTCCTAGTTCGCAGATTTATGAAAGACAGCATAGTTGTGGATGGAAGAAAAAGAGCAACATTTGGTGCACATCCACCTGACCTATTGAGTTGTTCCTGGAGACGAAGCTTTCCAACCATCAAAATGGTCCTTCTGGACTAACCTCTTTTGGTACAGCCTATGGGAACTTCCCCACAAACAACATGGGGAAGGGAGTGGGAGGGAGTGGGGAAGAGGCTTGTTTGTTTAACAAAATTCATTATTAGTTCATCTCTAGCATTAGCAGTAACTTGAACTAGTTTAGTCAGCTTGATGCTTCAGAGGCCAGCAAATAGTTCATGTAAGATCAAAATAACAGATATGGTTACAGCATTGAATACGGTTTTAACAGCAAATAGTTCATGTAAGATCAAAATAACAGATATGATTACAGCATTGAATAGGGTTTGATCCTTGAGAATTTCTGCAAATGCTCTGTTTCTCTCCATACTAGAAAGGCCCTCATTTATGAGCTTCTTAATGAGGAATTCATTTCACCTGATCTTCAGGTTCAGCAAGTAACTCTGCTGCTTTCCCGTAACCTTCCTGTCCACATGGTTTTCAGCAGCTCAACTTCTGAGCCCCTCCAGACTTAATCAGGATCAGATTCAGGAATGCAACACCATAGGTTCCCTGGGGAAAGGAGCAAATTCTTCAACCAACAGCTGGTGGCCTCAACCTGATGCTGACCAAACAGAAGGTAACTCCCTAACCGTAAAAGGAAAACTAGAGTGGGGCACATCATAGCAAAGAGGCCACTCCTGTTAGCCCCAATGCACCTATACCACTTCACGCCTTCCTTTATTCTGCCATTATCTACAGTTTTAAAGGTACATTAGAGGAGCATTGAGACATACAATGGAAGTCTCAAACACTGACATTCCTATTTTGCAACACTATACACCAGGGATCCATACGCTGATGTGGTAGGTGTTGGATGCAGGCTCCTTGGCAGTTGACAAAAAGAACATATTTTAACATAATCCTGAGTTAATTCCTTGGGCCCCAATAATAAAGGTTAATATAAAATGCTTCAAGACAGTAAACACTGAGACTAACCCCTATAACTACACAGGCATGACTATCCGACCCAAGTACTCCAATTCATAGAATCATAAAATACTAGAACTGGAAGGGACCTCGAGAGGTCAAGTCCACTCCCTTGCATTTACCACATGATCAAGCACCATCCCTAACATATTCACATTTTCATCGCATCTTCACCTTTTTAATTCGATATCTGAGATTCCTTGGCTTCAGTGTTATAATTTACCTAAAGCAATCCCCAAAAATGTCCTGCACATTGGGTTTTAAAGCTGAAAAGGACACTGTCAATATTTAATTACTTTTTTGCTCTGCAGACTTTTTAGAAGCTTGAAAATAATTCCTTTCCTAACAATATCATCCAATGCTAAATGAGCAAACATGAATTTTTATCCTCTTTTTAAGGAGTTTGGATTTTAACCTGGCTTGTTTACTTTCTTGTTTGTGTGCCCTCAATTATGTCAGCACAGCTCTACAAATGCAATGTATTAGCTGATTCTTCAGAGTGTCCCTCTAAAATGACGACTACTCCTTGAAAGAGTAGCAAGGGAAGGATGAACTAAATCCTTGGAATACTTGGAATCTAGGAATTCTCTCTCAGTGATGAAATACAATTAGGTGTTAGCTCTGCCATTGCCCAGCTTGGAGGTTTAACATAAACCCAGAAACAGAGCAGCCCAGACAGCACCAAGACATTAAAATTGAAAGCTATGTATTCCCTTGTGCCAAACAAGTGTCAAATCCTTGTACAGCAGGGCACAGAAGCATTTCCTCCAGTGCTGGCTAGGGCTCACTTGCCCTTCAAACGAATGTGGATGCTAGTCATACAACTCTGTTCTGCCCTTTGGAAACTTCCAAAGGTGATAAAGCACAGGGGGAGTAATCGTTCACTTTCCCACTTCTTTTCTATATTAAATGGACCACAAGAATTGAGCAGGCGGATCCCATAGCCAAACCTAATGTCAGGTAAAATGTCATCACCACCCCTGTTGCCTCTGCTAACTCTTTTGGCATGATCTTGGGGCCATAGATGATAGCTAAGGTACCTAGGTAACCATTGCTGAGTCCTAAGAGTACAATGAAAACAGCTGGGTAGACATCTTTGTTGAAGACTACCATTTTGATTTGGCTCCGAGGCTGATAGTTACATAACATGAATACAGGTAGTGACAAAGTCCTCAGGAGGATCAGAGCAGGGAGCAGTTTGCTCTTCGGGCCAGGAGCCTGGATCCAGGCGGTGATTTGCCGTCCACACCAGTCAGCAAAATTGTACAAAAGAAAACTGGTGAGGGGGATGAAGTACTTATTGGTCCATAAACTCCCCGAGTTCTTGTTGACAGATTCTATGCTGGAGGAGATGGAAGGAAATATAATGATAGAGATGAAAAAGACGTAGAAGACACAGAAGCCCAAGACAGCAGTCTTCTTCAGGATAGGACGTAGGGGTGGGATGAATTGATCACTGTTGGTAATGTCTTCTGACTCATCCACTTCCTCTAAATAACTGCTAGGCAGTACACTGGCTGTGCTACTCTTGTGGCTTCTCATGTAGTATCTGAAAAAAAGGAAGGAAAACTAATCAACATCCCAATGAAATCAAAGTGGACAGTTACAAGGAGAACAGAAGTCGACTGCGCAGGAAAATTTGCTGGCATCCAACAAATAAATTCAGTATTTAGACTGGGATTTTTCAAAGTCTGGATCACGTCTTTAAGGGTCAGCCATGAGACACTTGTTTATCAGAGCACCTGCACGCATGGCTGTTCACAGCTCCCAGTGGCTGCAAGTTTGTTCCCAGTCAACAGGAGCTATGGTACGTTTTGCTGGGCCACTGCTTCTGGCAACTCCTATTGGCTAGAAATGGCTATGCCTGTGGACACTCAGGTAAACAAGCATCTTGCAACGGTCTTGCAACGGCCAAAGACCTACCCTTACAAGCCATTACCCAGACTTTGAAGAATGCAATTTATATTACATAGCTTGTGCTGCCCTCCGTATCAGAAACTGCATATGTGGTTTCAGTCATCCACCCACCCTTCCCCACAAAAGGTAACTTTTCAGAAACTCAAGACAAGCTGCAAATCCCACAGTTTCTGTTTGTGGTTTCTGTCAAATTGGAAAGTTCAGATGAAAGACCCAGCAAAGGAACTGAACATAATCAGCAGGAGAGCAAAGCATAGTAAGGATGTTAAATTTCGTTTAATCAATTAAGTTGATGGATTTCCTATCAAATAGCTGATTAGTCAATAAGTGGGGAAGCCACAGAGGGGTTAGCTCCTGGCCCCAGCTGCAGCTAAACCTGCTGCAGCTCTGCCTTTTAAATGTATTAAGGCTCTTAATTAATTTAAAAGGCTAGCATGAGCCAGGACAGCTGATTTCTGGCTCACGCTGGGTCTCCCCACTGCACTCCAGCCTTTTTACATTTAAGACTGGTGCGCAGCAGCGGAGACCAGAGTGAGCCCAGAATCAGCTGGCCCGGCTTGTGCCAAGTCTCCCTGCTTTGCTTTAGCCTTTTAAATGTATTAAAAGGCTGGAGCGCAGGGTGGGAACCCGGCACAAGTCATCCCAGCTGATTCTGGGCTTGGGCCAGGTCCCTCGCTCTTTGCACCAGCCTTAAAGGTAAAAAGACTGGAGCACAGCCAGAGGACCTGACATGAGCCGGGAATCAGCTGTCTGATTTTTAAATGTATTAAGAGATAGCTGGCTCTTAATACATTTAAAAAGCAGAGGCACAGCATCAGGGACTGGCCATGAGCTGTAAATCAGCTGATTCCTGCCTCGCACCCAGTCCCCGCTACTTACCTGCCTTCCCTACCCCTCGCAGAGACAGTGCTGGGAGGAACCAGCTTTTAAGCCGGTTCTCCCCAGCACTGGTTCCTACTCCCCCCGCCTTCCTGGGGAGAGGGGGAGGGAAGGGACTAGTCAACTATCCAATAAGCTTTTGCTTATCAGATAGTCAACTAGTTGCTTATATCCCTAAAGCATAGGGTGTGTTGCATGGCCCTCAGAGCATGGTAAGAAGAAAGGTAGACTCTTGCAACAGACAAGCACATGAACAAAGAACATAAAAAGCAAGACTGCAAATGGCAGGAAATAAGAGAAACGAGCATCACATACAGACTGTGATTTTCTGACCTTTTATATTACACAGTGAAAGATAAAGTAGGTCCCCAGCTATGCCATTTGCACCACTGTTCTTACTGCTGGCTTTTCACACCTCAGTATACTACAGTTATGTACTTTGTAGCTCTTAATATGCAAAAAACAAAAAAAAACCTCTACCTGCATGTGAGGCATATTCACCATGTGTGTGTTATATATTATTTGAACCCAGCTTAGGATATTTGCATAGTAATAGTGTGATAACTTGACAGACTTTACCTGGAGTATTCCAACTTGGGAAGAATCAGGTATACTACCATGCAGACAATGATGAAGACATCTGCTGTTAGGAAGTAGGCCAGGGCACTGTCTGTAACGTCAGCTGCTGCTGCCAGATCCACCACCGATGCCACAGCACTGAGTGTGCCCCCCATGGCCTGACCTATGTGAAGTGAGAGAAAGCAAGAATTCAGTGTCACTGAAGCATGCAATAATGCCCAGACCCAGACGCTTGGGTAGGCAGCAGCTCCAAAGTCAAAACAGAGAGTCAGGGATAAGAGAGCTGAGGGTAAGAGGCTTGTACCTAAGAATTTCAGAAATTGTTTTTAATTGGAGTATGTGGGCAAGCTTCGTGTTCTTGGAACAACGCTACTGGTAGTATTGGCCAGAGCCAGACTCAAAGCCGGCATGTGCTGTGCAAGTGCTCGTGTTATACTCACACCCAGCTTTGCCAATGCACTTTAATCCTAACCTATGAACAAGGCTTGAATTCCAGCTCCAGGTCTCTTGATACAAAGCAGCCAATTGCTGCAAGTTGTATTATAGTTTTGGGAGGTGGGAAAAAACAAATACTTGGTGAGGCAGAAACCTCTGAACTCACTGCTTATCTGACTCAACCCTACACTCAGTGGAGTGTAGGTCTCTAGAGGTGAAAAGCCATGCATTAATATGGATCATCTAGTTACCCCAAATATGAGGCTTCAAAGCTTGCAGTCTTAAAAGGGAAAGTCCATCTGTATACAGGCAGTCCCCGCGTTACGTACAAGATAGGGACTGTAGGTTTGTTCTTAAGTTGAATTTGTACATAAGTCGGAACTGGTACATATTGTACCCCAGGTGTCCCAGATTCAGCCGCTGCTGAAACTGACCAGCGGTTGACTACAGGAAGCCCGAGGCAGAGCTGCTTTGCCCCGGGCTTCCTGGAATCAGCCGCTGATCAGTTTCAGCAGTAGCTGACTTGGGGACACCTGGGGTAGAGCAGCTGGGGTGCTGCCAGGTTGGTCCCCGCAGTGC